TTCAGAAATTAACAATGAACACCATAATCTCAGCACAGAAATGCGTGGTGAACAAACTTTAAAACCCTGCATGTAGCTTGAATCATCTTAAAAAAAAAAGGGGCCGCTGAACAAGGAAGGCACAAGGAAGTCAACAAGAACAAATCGGAGGCACTGAGCAGGTTCTATGCAAAGATTCTGCAGTCCACAACTGTTCATGCTGGGAGACAGATGCACCAGGGGAGTGAAATGGCACGTAAAAACTATGAAGCTATGAAAATGGTTAAAGGGTAAACAGAGGACAAACACTTTTGGGGATAAGGCAGCTCTGGAGCCCCGTTAAATGACTAAGCTAACAAAGGTATGTACTTTCAAAGCAAGCGTAATTAAATCTTGCAACTCTGTCAAAGAATGTAGCAGAATCTCTAAATACAACTACTTCTGGCACCAACATGATAGACTTGCAGTGAGCTTCACTAATTACAAGCACCATAAAACATCCCTGACCGTGCAAGGCTATAGCAGCGAGCAGAAGCTAAGCATGTTTGAAAGAAACCAAACCAAGTCCCTGCAGTTGTCTGGGGTTTATATATACATATATAAAATGTAATAGATATTTAATGTATAATATATACAGCCATGAATATATGAATGTTAAATATGATCAATATGTATTTACATATCTGATTAGTATTCATATACAAAACCCTCTGTGTTTGCAGGTACACAATACATGAACATTCTATTGCAGAAATTCTGAAATTGCTGTACAGTACAGCTAAACTTTGATTAGTTGAACAGAATTCTAAGAGCTGACAATTACAGCTTTTAATCAGCTGCAGACCTTCTCTTGGTGGAAAAAAGCGAGAACTGAGAAGTGGATTCTGAATCTATGTAAATGCAAATTTGTGCCCCATATAAAAAAAAATCACCTACTTGGAAAAACATACCAAAAGAAGTGGTAGTCTCCATCTCCTGATGCATACAATCCAGATAAAGGATAAAAGTTTTCAAATGTAAGTTACTGATTTGCTAGATCAATTTACAAATTCTTCCTGTCCTCATCTGGTCTAAAATCTCGATTGCTACATATTTCTTAATTTTAATCTGTAATTTTTTGTGCAAATCATTCCTCTGATTTCAGCTGAATATTGCTTTGGGTTGATTGTACTCTATGATTAACAAAAGAGGAAATTCAGGAGACAGAAACAATGTTTGGTAGACTCAATCCAAACAAAGGTTCAGCACGAGATGCAGAACTCTTAGTGTAGTGGAAATGACCAAAGCTATTGCATTACACATAGCTGAATCTTTGTCTTTTTGATCTTTAATTCTAATTGCTGATATACACACACAAAAATGAGGGCAACTTCTCAGCTATAATTAACCATTCAGAACAGGTCATATGTGCAGAGTAAAACAGAAGTGCCCCAGAAATTCTGCACAATAGGAATATGGTGAAGCTGAATGGTTCCTGGGTCTGGGATAATCCTTTTCGTCTGTAGCAGACTGAACTACTTGCAGCCAGTAACCAACCATGCCAGCATGCCACGTGCCAGCAAACCGAACTGCTGCTGCCACCACAACCTCCAAGGTCAGAAGCCAGGGAACCTTGACCACCCCGCTGTATCTCCAGGGGAGAGGGCAGCTCTGAACCCCAACCTGTTAGGAAGACAGAGAGAGATGGGGAGCACAGCACAGGAGATGCTGCTTATGACAAGATAGATCCTGTACCCAAACCATCACTGAGAATCAAGAATCTGCAGGTAGTTTTGTACGCTCCCATAAAACACCCCAGCCTTGTGGTCAGACACAGGGCAAGACATTAACAGGTAGCCTACGCTACCAGAGGCAGAAGCCAAGACAAACTGAAAGCATGAAGATCAGTGTACAAGTCTGAAAGAAACTGCCCAAGCTGTTACAGTAAATGACTTTTATTTTTAAAAAAATGAAATAACCGTGAACATATTAACAGGCCTGCAGGTGGCACTACAGTACAGCTGGATATAAGGTAGATACATTTCCCCATGTACCCGGACAATGAAATCCATTGCATCAATGCTGACATTAGTAATTTCTGAATACAGTTCTATCAAGCAGGAACATTTTACTTAAAATAGTTCTGGACAAAGTTGACACTGAAAGTTAACTTTTCCTTCACTTTGGAAAGGATAGATGTTTTCAGCTAGCACTGGTATTGGGTGAACTATTGCCTGCAGTCACCAGTGCAGGGGGAGATGTACAACATCTCCACATGAGAACAGAGTTTATACTCCTTTTTACTTCTCATTCTGAGGAAGCAGGGTGGCGTAGGGAGAGGGGGGGAAGATGGGTGAGGAATATGGGCAAGGGAGGTGGGGTGTCATTTTCTATTCACTCTCCTTTGGCTGTTTTTGTGCTATTTTGGACTGCTTTCTAAAAATCACTTCTTGATTTTATTGAAAGGAAGACTAAATGTAATGCGCCTTTCCTTGAAAATCCAGGAACAGTTGTGGTACTTCAAAAATACTAAAAATATCTACTTTCATGAAATATTAACTGTTTCACTACAAACCTAGTTTTTCACTAAATACACAATTCTCCTATTTCTGGAGTCTCCTGGGGAAAAAAAGTGGGTTCTCCCTTTATTTCTGCAACTCTACAGTGTATAGAGAAACGGCTACAAGAAGGGGAGTGCAGAGAATAGCTTTATTCTTTTCCTTGGCCTGTATCTCACATGGGAAGTTTGCTTAAATTTCTGCAGCTGGGCTACTGTTGGTCACACTCCTTCAGCAGCTATCAACTAAGTCTGCAGCAGGACAACCCACCTCCAGCACATTCCTTCTAACTTTGTGGAGACTAACTAGGCATGAGGAAAAAAAACATCCACACTCTTTATACCATTTCTAATCATAATATGTAGGAACACCGAGTGGTTTCCACGTTCTTCCGATTTGCAAAAGGCCACAGGAAAGGGACATGGCACCTTTCATTAGAATCTGGAATTCTGCATGTAACAGTGCGACCTTCCATTAGACCTTCAGTGTTGAGGCAGCGTAGAAAACAGTGGCTGAAGAGTGTGTGTAATACTGACCACACCAGCTCTTAGTGAGAAGCCTCTGCTCCTGCAGAGGCAGTCATGTGCAGTCCCTGTATATACTGTGAGCAAAAGGCTTACTTCACAGGGCATTTGGAATTAGCAATTCCTACGATCTAGCTAGTTTGGATTCATGAGCTTTCAGTGTGCCAACAGCATCTTTCACTGCATGGTAGATAATGTTCTTCACCTGTAACAGCAAAAAAAAAAAAAAAAAAAAAATCAGTTTCTACATACTAACTCTCTAAGGAGAGTCATACACACCTATGCAATCAACTTTGACAGCTGAATTTGTAATAGTTGGCAAGTGTACACAAAGTATATGCTATCACTGCTTCAGGATATCAACAGCACACATTTTAACTGTCTTGATTAGATGACAATATTTTAGACACCTGCACTGATTTATTAACTCATTTTCTGGTCACCCAGCAACATATATTTACCTCTGTTATTTTAAGATAAAGTCTCTCTTTTGTGAGAGCCAGGAGAAAGTATGCCAAGAAGTAACACACATGAATTTATTTTGAAAAAGTCCCTGTGATCCAAGTCACTTACAGATTCACACGAATCAAACCCAAAAGGAGCAAGAAAGTCATATGGTTTAACCCTGTGTAAATTAAGACAACACAACAAATCATCCTGTTGTCTTTGTATGGAGGCTAGAAATTCTTCTCATTTGTGCACCCTCCAGAAAGGCAATATTAGAGATGAAAAATCCCCTAGTACTCACAGCAATCTGTTCCATGCTTAGCTATTTAACAATCAGAGCTCTATCTTGTTTCTGATTTTTCTGATCTAAGTTTATGTGAATTCAGTTTCTAGGTATTGAATGGAACAGTTTCATCTCTAAGTGAGTAGCTTAATTGCACTTGCTCAACTAACTGCCAAGCACCATCATTTTTTCTGGAGGTACATATGATCTCAGTCCTTTGTATCATTTATGCGACAGTGATTGCTTCTGTGTATTTTTTAAATATTTATATATAAAAAGAGATGCTTATATAAAAATACTATAAAAATATCCATGAAAAATGACAAAGAAAACCAGTAAAGTTTGGCTGTAAGGCACAAATACGATCAGTATTCATTTTCACAGCAGTATTGACTTCTGCTTTGCCAGCAATTACGTCTTCCTTTTTGTTTTTTTTTTTTTTTTTTTTTTTTTTTTTTTTAAATAATAAGCATTATTCATTTGCAACCTATTCATTTACAGGAACACTTCCACATCTGTATCACTACAGCTGAAGAGGTACAGTGTTAGAACCTGGATCCTCACAATGAGAGTTGATCCTACTTCTGCTTTCCTTTAAAAACCTATGCAAACCCACACAGAAATTTATAGCATTTTTTCACTGAATTGTTTGAGAGAATTAACATGGTAAGTTCTGACATGATCTAAACTGTCATAAAATGGTTACCTGCAGCTTATCCTCATGGTTTGTATGAGTATTAGACAGGTGCCTGAACTCCTGGGTCAGACGGAAGCAGTGCTTCACATGTTCTGGAGATACAAAATCTTCTGCCACTTTAATGCAGCTGTACAAATTATGGACCTAAAAACACCCATATCAAATGACAGATACATCAAGATTGAGTGAACTATACAAAACCAAAAATGCCCCGCAAAAACCACCACCACATATGTTAGGTTCTTCCACATTTACTTATCAGAAACAGGAGCTGAAGCCTATTTGATCTCACAGAGAATTGTACGTAATGGCAAAACCAGAACAAAATACATGACATCTCACATGTTCCCTATTTTCCCACATACACTAGTGTTCCCTAAAGCAAATTCTCTACTGTTCTCCACACGCTTTAGGAATCCTGTTCCCTTAGCTGAAGTTTCACTACACAGAAACGTTTTCCCACCATCCACCTTTTTTTTTTTTTTTTTCCCCTTAATTCTATCACAGTACTGTACACATCATTCAGGTATTTATGTAGTTTTTACTAATATAATGACTAAGATCCAATTCAAATAGCTCCTGTAACAGCTGCATACATAGAAAAAGGAACCTAAGTCAGCAATATTAACTGACAGTTATTTTGAAGCACAGTTCTGTTGTGCCTCAAATTCAAGTCTATTTGTCAATATGGCCTAGAGCTGACATACTTACCTGATGGGGAGCACCTGCAGGAATGAACACAGCATCTCCAAGGAACTGCACTATTGCCCAGCCTTGTACACCATACTCATCATAGAGTCGCTTACGTAAGGTCTGGTCCAAGTACCAACTTTGGTCATGAATGGGGTCATGATCTGGGGGATTTTCTTGGCCTTGTTCTTCTCCAACCTAGGACCAAGACACAGGGTAGAGGGGAAACTATGACATAGCACCTTGATATTGCTGGCTCACAAAAAGCTCTGTAGTCTTAACTAGTGACACGTGCATTACTATGAAGATTCTAGACCAGGCTGAAAACCTGGGAACATAATAACTATTAATGTCCTCAAAGACAGCATTATAAAAACTATACACTTGATTTTGATAGCAATTTGTATCATTCAGCTGCTGTAAGCAAGCTAGTCAAGGAATCCTGTAGGCTCAAGCCTCCTTTGTAACCAACATACCTTCCGGAGAAGTTCCCGTATCTTTTCAGCATCCTTGGCAGCATAGATGTGCCACAATGCTCCAGGCTTCTCTCTTCCTTCATGGATTCGCTGCTTTGTTACATCGTCAGCATCTCCCTCATCAATTGTTTTCAGAACCTCTGAAAGGGGAATCCACAAAAAAGCACTATGACTACAAAGCTGCTGATTTTTGAAGGGAGGAAGGAGCATTTTGAGATGCTAAATCCAGTCACACTGCTACTGCAACTGCTGTACCATACAGTGCCTTTTCTAAGCACATCAAGCTTCATCTTAACAAAATTCAGGAAATAAGTCAATTGACAGCTAATCACAAAGCTCAGTCATGAATTCAAACTGAACTAATGACAGTTATTCAATACAAGGAGAAGAAAGAGTAACTTATTACCCTTTCTCCTCCTTTCTTCAAGGAGATCTAACTTCTAGCGCAACTCTTGCTTCTTCCACAGTTGGGAACCAATGAAGCATTACTGCACTTTTAAATAGGTGCTGCAGATGTGGCAAACTGCCTTGGGTATTTGGGTTGTAGCTCATAGACATGGCAAGCTTAAAACAATAAAAGGTACAGTCTTCTTTCTCATACACAGAATTGATTTTAACAGACAGAAAACAGTTTTCCTCAAACATTACCATCATCATGGGTCCCTTCCCCAATGGGAATCCCAACGTACACCATGACATTAACAGCATCAGACACGTCCAAGTGCAGGTTTGTGGTACCGACTCGTCTGTCTTCTGCAGTAATTAAGCCTATAATAGAGTGTAAAATAAAATCAAATTCTATTTAAGCTCCTATAGAAATAGCCTGCCTGAAAGATCTTTCTAGAATGCTAACTTTACACAGCAATAAAAGCAGAAACCAATGTCAAAGGGCAGCTGAAGTAGTTATTTTCATGTCACGTGCGACATAAGTAAAAAGTTTACTGATAACTAGTATTTTTATTTTACAGGGAATAGAAGTAGCAAATATAGTTCACCCAAATTATGAGAAATCAAGCATTTTAAAAAGAAAGCCTGAACTTGTACTTCACAGTTTTGTCTCTCTGAGGGTCGTGTATACAGTCTGTAGTAGGGAACTTAGCTTTCATAATACAAAGTCAGTAGGCATTCTTTGGCACTGTCTTCCTTTGCTTGGAGGTACAAGAGAAACTCTGGCTGCTGTAAGCGGCTTTAGCATCATAGTGTGTGCAGCAAGCCATTGGACTGTTACAAGTATAAGCCTCCAGCAGTTCATTATTTTCTCATACTCAGCTGTAAAATCCATGCGATCAGTTGAATTCACAGCAGTTATTGTCCAATTCATCATTAACAATTCAGATTACAACTGAGTAAGGAAAAACACCTGGAGACTCTCAAGTGCTTATACCTTTATACATTGGATGATCTTACCCCTCTCAAGTGGCTATGAGTAATGGAGAAAGATTTCAAATGTTTGCTGCTTAATTCTTTCACCTTCTCATACAACACATTCTTCTCTCCTCCTCTGACCCTTCTCTCTCTCTACTTTTGCTTTACCATCTCCTCTAGCAAGTAACATGGGGGAAAAAATTAAAAGATTAAAAAAAATAATCTTTGTATCAGCAAACACTAACGTAAGTACGACCACAAGACTACTGGTTATGTTTTAGGATCACCATTGTATTTATATCTTTCCTATTTAAAATATAAGCTTCTCGGAGCATATATAAGATTTCTTCACAGTTAACGTCTGTAAATGGTCCTTTTATTTAGATAATTGAGTATCACTCTAAGAATCAAGCTTCAGTGACAATTTTTCTGCCTTAATGGCTTTAAAATGCGGAGGACATGAAAGACTTTACCTCACTATTGAGAACTTTTTTCCACCATATGCTCAAAAAACAAAGCCATATATTTACAACCAAAATACATTTAATATGCTAGAAAAGTTACATTTATTCACCATAGACAGAATTACTGTTTTCATATCTAGCCCCACCCTTTAATTTGCCTGTAAAGCAGCTAAGAGCAAAAAAAAAAGAAAAACAACCTGTTTTTGAAGACAGACCTAGCTAAAGTTTTTTCCTTTAAATTGAAAGTGAAGTTTAATACTTTCTCTCTTTGGACCAAGACCCATACTTCTAAGAAGGATCAAATAGTAGAGGGTTACATCCTGTGCTAAAAAAACACCATCGACACTCCTTCCACAAACTCTGATACAAAGGAAAAGAAAACTTTGACATTTAAGATGAACTCAAAAAATGAATCCATTCCTTCCATTGCTAGCAACTAGCAATGTATGATGACAAGTTAGCCATCACTGGTTACCTTGCTTCTTGCTGCACTCATATCTATATATATGTATTGCTTGATCACATTATAAGCTCTTCGGTGTACAGCCTTCTTTACTCAGCTTCCATGTCAAGTAATACATAAACCAAAACACTGAACACCATTAAATACCGAATAGGCTCAATTTGCCTAAGTTCACAAACACCTTTTTTTTTTTTTTTTTTTTTTTTTAAAACTCTTATTTGTGATGTTGTACTGCTAAAAAAACCCCAAATAAGCCCACAAACACTTTCTCAGAACTGCAATATACTGGTTTACAGCTTAAGTCTAATCCACATTTGGTAACTGAGCTAAAATGTTTTTTAAAAAAAGATGAAACAATGAAAAATCTTTCATGTCCTCAGGTGAATTGTTACTATTCCAACCCTGGTTGGAAACATGAACACACAGACTGAAGTGCCCAGAAGCTGGCTAGTTTTCCTCTCAAATGTATCAGCTGGTCTCAAAAAGATATTAACTTCTTCTTGAACTCTGTATCGGTATTATGTTTATTATATGTATTAAATAATAACTGTTTGCAAACTTAACCTATTGTACGTACACCTCTTGGAAACCAGATGACAAAAAAGGGCACATCTGACAGAGAGAAGACTAGCATAGGGACAGATCGCGGGATCAAGTAAAAAAAATTACAGTGTGCTCTAGGATAAGCACTGAGTTTTGATACATGCCACAGCCTTGCATGTGCCCTAAGTATAATAAAGAGTCACAAAAATGAACATCTGCAGAACTATTCTCACATACCATAGGCATTGTACATTTTGGGACCCAAGTCAGGACGGACAAAGTAGCTTGGCAGCCTAGAAGCCAAATTCAGTCTCCCATCCCTCTTGGTATATTCAGGAAGCGGAAGATTTTCCATCAAGTCCTCAAACCTAGGGAGCAAAAAGAGAACAAAGGCATGTTTTCCTCCTGTAGCGCCTACAACAGTCCTGTAGGCATTGATACTAAGGTTTACTTACCTTGTAGGCATCATATCTCTAAAGTCCTCCCCTGGAGGCCAATCCTTTAACTTTAGTACCATTGGCTGACCATCATCTGACCTGAGCCGTTCTGCAAGAAACAAATTAAGATTTCTTCATGTAGTAACTTTAACCATAGCCCATTATCTTATTTAAGCATTAAGTCTTTTGTACCAAGACCTCTTACATTGCACAGCAAAATGGATCCTGATTTTAATTTGGGCTTCCAAGATTATCACAGTATGACCAAACAACAGTTTACCCATTAGATATATATATATATATATATATATATCATTACCTACAGCAGAAGTTTGACAGATCTTGCACAGCTGCTAGGTTTTAGAATAGTTTTTATTCAACTTCAAAACCAAGCCTTTCCAAAACATTCTGCCTTACTACTTTTACCAGCGTCTAAAGGAGTTTTATCTTTCATTTCAAGAGGAGTGGTGCTTCTGTAAAATTAAAGTTATTGGTTCATGCCCTGAAATCAACCCTAACCTCAAGAAGCAAGAAACCATGGTACACCACAGTCAAAAAATCTAAATGGCAGATGGTTACTGAGGAAGACAGCCCTTAGTTTTTTATATTCTTCTTTGCTAGAGGCACTCAAAGTAGCAGGGTGCTGAATCCAAACATTTGTTCTTCACTTCAAGAGTTGTACGCAAGTCCTAACTGGTAGCAGAGAAAGCTGGTAGCATAGAAAGATGACATTATGTATGCAACAGTGGATGTACGATATGACAGCACTGATCACATCAACTGCTGTCTTGCCTCAGATGTTACAACGGCTAAGAGAGTGTGTCTGGAAGTGGTACGTGCAGCAGCTTAGAAGACTCAGCATAACATTTAGAGAGAGACAAAGTTCACTCTTCTACCAGATTCTTCACAAATTTACATTAAGCCATCTGTTGGAAAACAGGATGTACTGCAGTCTGACACCTTCACATCCCCTCTTCCCCGGAAAGCAACATCCTTCACCACGTCCTACCTTACGATTGTCAGCCAAACAAAAACCAACTTATCTTACCCAGACCTAGGAGGGCTGCTGACAGCACCAAAAGAGAAAGCATATCTAAGAAACTAGGACTTGGGGACCTGTGAATCCCATCTGCGTTGTATATCAACAGGCTACAGAAGACAGCCTTAGTTTGCAATATAAAAAAATAGTTTATTGAAATTAAAAGGAATTAAGAACTGCAGATATGTAAACCGAAGTGACTGATTTAAAGAAAACAAATTTTGATGAGCTACAGATTTTAGGGAGGCTAGTGAACTGAAAAGCTCAGGGACTTGAATTTAAAGGTGGTTTAGAACTTCTCATATTCAAGATTTTGAACTCATCAAGGACCTTTGTTCCAAGTAAGGAAAAGAAACTTGTAGGAAGGCTATTCAGGAAGGACAGAGTGAAGAGCTACCTGGAGGAAAACGTACAGATTTGTCAAATTATACAAAACTGGACAAAACCCAGAAAACATCTGATCAGCAAAGAAAAGCAGGTCTAAGAAGGATCAAACCAGTAAGTTAGACCTGACAGAAGTCCACTTAGAACTCAAATATATTAAAAGTAAACAGCACAAGATTAAAATTAACTAAAATAAACTATCATAAAGAATAAATTAAGGGATTATCTCAATACCACCTCCAAATCAAGTGGCTGTTCTACATCTCTTCAATAACTTAATGCAAAGGAGGAGCATGGGAGAACCAGCCACATATTTGACAAATATAAAATTCATGTCATGTAGAAAAGTCAGAGTCATTATATTATTTGCAAACAGTCTTCATATGAGTTAGTGTGTGAAATTTCTGGAGTAGTAGCAAATTAAAATCTCTTCTGAACTGGGGATTGCACATGGCTAAATAGGACGTACTTAAAAGAAACTAACAAAAGTGATCATGTTTTCCAACCTGGATCACAACACTTCTCATGTAAAGGGTGGTAGAGGCATTGTCTAAAAGAAAGGCAGCAGCTGATTTTGCTGAAAGGGGTATATCTGTCTGGAGACAAACTACAAATAACATTTCTCAAAGATAACTTGACCCATACAAATTTACTATTTTCATGAGTCACCCTAGCACAAAAAATGAAGAGTTTGTGAAGTTTCGCGGTTACCATTAATACACAGAAAGACCACACTGTTATATCCTTTTAGGTCATTTATGTCTGAGTAATAACAGAAATAGTATGAAATTTAACAGTACAAAATGGAAGACTCTGTACTTGGAACCACATAAAAACAAGTCAAAAGTTGGGAGCTCTTTGATTGGAAGATGTCTAGGGAAGGGCATATTCTTGGTCTACAAATCTATCATTTTGTTTGCTGTTGAACAAACATTCCATTAAGTCATCCAACAGTTCACCATTTTATACACAACACTAAAATCAGCAACATTGCGATGAACCGTTACAAGTCTAACATACGTAAATATAAGACCACTCTGACCTAGTTATATACAATCTAAAATAGAGCACTCTGCTTTTCAGAAGCTTTTTAATCTGACCAGATACACCCCCAGGAATTTTAACTGCTTAGCTTCCACCCTTGACAGAAGGTTTTCTCAAAGAACTACTCAAGCATTAAGTAATGCATTATCACATGAGGTACGCATACAGCACTGCTATTCATAATACATATAAACATGTATTTGTACTTGCAGATGATCTACTATAAAAATAATTTGCAATGGCAAGTTTACTTAGTTGATGTATTCCACCAAGTCTGAATTTTAGCATCAAAAGCCTCAGTCTGTTTTAGCTCTGCAGATTCCCTTGAGTTTTACAATAAACTAACGTTGGAGGTTGGAAGGAGAGTAAGAGTACTCAAATCACTTACTGTCTTAAGGGTAACTGATGAGTAATTTCACTGAGGAAAGTTAAAAAACAAAACAAAACCCGTTTGAAATGAAATGGATCATCTTTTGACACATGAAAGTAACACACACCAACACGCTGCAGTAGAGAGGAAGTTAGGCAGCCCTGCCCTAATCTTCACCAATGAAGTATTTTCTAGGGTACGCTACATCTAAGGAGCAATGGCTTCTTTGGATAAGACTGATAGCTATTTGGATTTTTTTTTAATTATAATCTTTTGAGAAAAATAGGTGGAAAAGGAGTTGAAGGTAGCAAGACAGACTGCTCAGTTAAACTAGTCAGCCATAGATATTACTTACTAGATATTATCTCAAAGCCATCCCAGAAGTCACGCACTTTCACGTCTGAAATTATGGCACAGTTCCTGCAGTTCACCAAATCTACATCTTGATCTCCAAATTCCAGGCTGAAAGCTTCTGGTTTCCAAAGCTCTGACTTCAACTTCTTATGGACACCAGATACCAGCACGGGCTGAGAATACAAAGATGAATGCTTACTCCACCATAACCAAATTTCTTACACATGCAGCCAAACTTTCTTAAGAGCTGAGACTCCTGGCTACCATCATACAAAAGACACCACATATCTGTTTTCATCCATGTCTGGTTTTTGTGCATCAAACAACCAGAGTCAAAGGAAACTTCAGTTCCAGGCCATGTGCAGTTGCCTTAGAAGTGGTATTATATTAGACTTACTAAGGCAAGTGTACCAGGGCTACACAGCAAGGTGTTGGCAGCGGGGTGGGCTCTGTGAGATGAGGCTGGGAGCTGCCCCATGCTGGACACAGATGGTTCCACCTGGCTCCAACAGACCCATCACTGGCCAAAGCTGAGCCCATCATTGATGCTGGTGGCACCTCTGTGATAATAAGAAAGGGTAAAATAAATGCTCTGTGGCTGCTGGGGCGTGGGGGGGGGCGGGGGGGGAAGGAAGTGAGAGAAACAAATCTGCAGACCCCAAGGTCAGTGAAGAAGGAGGGGGAGGAGGTGCTCCAGAGACTCCTTTGCAGCCCATGGAAGAGACCGTGGTGAAAGCAGGTTGTGCCCCTGCAGCCTGTGGAGGACCACGGTGGAGCAGATATCCACACTGAAGCCCATGGAGGACCCCACACTGCAGCAGAGGGAGATGCCCTGAAGGAAGCTGCAGCCCATGGAGAGCCCATGCTGGAGCAGACTCCTGGCAGGAGCTGCAGCCCTTGGACAAAAAGCCCATGCAGGAGCAAGTTTTCTGGCAGAAACCGTTGCCCGCTGGGGACTCACACTGGAGCAGTCTACTCCTGAAGGACTGTAGCCCATGAAGAGGGCCTGTGCTGGAGCAGTTGGTGAAGGATGGTATCCTGTGGGAGGGAACCCACACTGGAGCAGGGGAAAAGTGTGAGGAGGAAAGAGTAGCAGAGATGAAGTGTTATGAACTGACCACAACCCCCATTATTCTCCATCCCCCTGTGCGACTCCAGGGGGCGAGAAGGTAGAAGAGTTGGGGACGAAGAAGGAAAGTTGAGCCTTTAGGAAGAAGGAGGGGTGGGTGGGGGTAAGGTGTTTTTAGCTTTGTCTTTGTTCCCCCACCATCCTACTCTATTTTTAATTGGCAATAAATTGAATTACTTTTTCACAAGTTGAATCTGTTTTGCTCGTGACAGCAATCGCTAAGTAATCTCCCTGTCTTTATCATGACCCACAAACTTTCCCACCTTATGTTCTTCCCTGTCCTGTTGAGAAGGGGGAGTGAGAGAGTAGCTGGGTAGGGATCTGGCAGCCAGCCAAGGTCAATCCACCTGTGGAAGTACCATGGGTGTTGAGTCCCACCACCCCCTTTTTTTTTTTTCAAGCACAAATGCAACTACCACTAGAAACAGCATTTGCAGTAAAGCCTTCTCATATGAAATTTTCATATTCTGATAGGATTTTTTAACTATTTCACTCATTTTTTATGTAGAATCATGATCTTCATTAATTCCCTAGTACAAAACCAAGAAGCAGAAAAGTGGCTGTTCACTTGCAAAAGGGATTTTAAGATGTTTAGGCTAATCACAATTATATATGTCCACACCAAGATTTGAGTGGCCTCTCCCCATAAATGCTCAAGGTATTTGCTAAACTAACAATATTAGGAAAAGGTACACAAGACGATCTTCCCAACACTGGCCAAGACCTTGTCCGTTCCTCTCACCCTTCAATTTCTAGATAGAGCTACAAGAGAGAAAAGGAAGAGGGTATGAAATACACTTGCACATGGATTATCCCACCTGAAGAACTCTAGGCTTAGTAACTGCTACCTACGTTCAAATGACAGTTCACATGTCCATGCAAGTTTGAATCAATTCCAAGCTGTGCCCTCTGCACTGGCAATGACCTGAAGATGGATCCTGGGTTCATTCACATGAAGAGCTCAGTACAACCCTGGGGAACACAGATGCCCCTAAGATATTCTAGTAGTATCAGCACATTAGGCAAAGATACCTACAGACAAGCAGCTCCAGAGTTACATTGCCTAAAATCACTCCAATAACTAACCACTGCTTCACTTGGCTTACCCAAAGGCCTCTAATAAGACTAGCATCCATTTTAGTCCCTAAGTGAGGACAACTATTCATTCAGAAATGAATGGAGGAAAAGAACAACTTTGGGAATAACAGAAATGGCCTGGTTTTCAAATATAACACAATGTAGCCCTTAAGTTCTAGAAGGCAGCAGTGAAACATCAGCTCCAGAAGAGTAAGGTTTAAGAAAACAAGAAGGGGTTACTTTACTCCTGTCAACATCAGAAAAAAAATAGCAAAAAACCCACCACGGAACCACAGAAACATTTAGGTTGGAAGGGAACAGTCACACACTAAAAAAAGTGTTTTCTTGTGTTCAGGTTGAACGTCCTGGGTTTTGATGTGTGCCCACTGCCTCTTGTCCTGTCAGTGGGCACTGCTGAGAAGAGTTTGGCGCCCCCTGTCTCATTCCCACTCATCAGGTATTTATACACGTTGGCAAGATCTCCTCCCCACACTCCCCCAAGCCTTCTCTTCTCTAGGCTGAACTGTCCCAACTCTCTGAGCCTCTCTTCATATGATGCTCCAGTCCCTTAATCACCTTTGTGGCCCTTTGCTGGACTTGCTCCAGTAAGTCCACATCTGTACTGTACTCTGGAGCCCGGAGCTGGACACAGCGCTCCGGGTGTGGCCTCTACCAGCGCTGCGCAGAGGGGAAGGATCCCTTCCCTTGACCTGCTGATGATGCTCTTCCTAACGCAGCCCAGGGTGCTGCTGCCCTGCTTTGTCACGAGGACACATTCTTGGCTCATGGTCACCTCCTCATCCACTGGGACCCCAAGGTCCTTCCAGGCAAAGCTACTTGCCAGCCGGCCACCCCCCAGCATGTACTGCTGCAGGGTGTTATTCCTCCTGAAGTGGACATTTTCCCTTGCTGAACATCACAAGATTCCTCTCAGTCCAGTTATCCAGCCTGTCCAGGTCCCTCAGAATAGCAGCACAACCATCTGGTGTATCAGCCATTCCTCCTAGTTTTGTAAACTCGCTAAGCGTGTATGAACTCTGTCCCATTTAGGTCACTAATGAGGATGATAAAATAGTTCTCAACCCAATACTGACCCCCTAGGGTACACCACTAGTGACTGGCCTCCAGCTGGACTCGTGCTAGTGATCACAACCCTCTGAGCCTGGCATTTTAGTCAGTTTTAAATCCACTACACTGTCCACTTATCTAGTCTGTACTTCATCAGATTGTCTGATGACATTATGACAGTGTCAAAAGCCTTACTAAAGTTAAGATAAAAAAATCCAGGGTTCTCCCTTCATACACCAAGCCAGTCACCTCATCACAGAAGGCTACGAGGCAGATTAAGCATGACTCAACCAGCATTACCGAACCCCTCTTCTCTTCAGGACCATACCCCATGGGATTCTTCCAAGCAGATATCTGAAAAGGTGAAAGTCTGCTCTCCTGAAGCCCAGGCTTGCCATCTTGGTTTTTTGCTTTGCTCCCTCCTCTCAGGATCTTGAGCCAAACCCACCATCTGATAGTCACTGCAGCCAAAGCTGCCCCTTACCTTCACATCAACAACCAGTTGTTCCTTGTGTGTAAGGATGGGGTCCACAGAGCACCCTTCCCTAGTTGGCTCCTTGATCAGCTGTGTCAGAACGTTGTCATCAATGGACCCCAGAGAAGTTCAGGAGTGCTTGTGACCTGTTGTGTTATTCCTCCAGCAGATACCAGGGTGGCCCCATATGGCCCAGGAAATGTGAATACAGGGCTTCCTCCAATTGCCTGAAGAAGGCCTTATGACTTCTTCTTGACAGGTGGTCCATAGCAGACACTTGCCACAATGTTGCCCACTGTAGTCCACTTGCTAATCCTGGCCCATAAGCTTGCGAATGGCTCATCATCTGTTCCTATGCAATTTCATGCATTCCAGCTGCTCCCTCACATAAACAGCAATGCTCCCTGCTCACCTTTCTGCCCAGTCACTCCTGAACTGTCCTTCCTGAACAGCCTGTACCTATCCCTTGCCCTACTACAGCTGCACGAGCTATCCCACCACTTCTCCATCATACCAGTGAGATTGTGGCTGTGCACCTGCACGCGAATTCCTCCCATTTGTTCCCTGGGCTGTATGCATTAGTGCACAAGCACTTCAGAAAGGCACCTAGTCATGCTGATTTCCCAGAAACAGTATGAGAGCTTTCCTCATGATGCTGTGATGTACACAGTTCCTTACTTATGTGCATATGCCTGAAGTGCACATCTTTCATTCCCCTTTCCTTAAGCACGAGATTTCTCCTGTTCATACCACCCCACACTGCTCGCCTGCCAACCCAATCAGCTAATTCCTTTCTTGATCATTGGTCATACCCTCCCTCCCTTGTTGTTCCTGGCTTACAGCTCTCCTAAATAAGGTTGGCCATCCTGTTGCCAAAGATACTTTTGCTCCACTTAGATGGATCCCATCTCTTCCAAGCAGTCCTCAATCCTCAGAGAGGTTCCCATGACCACAAAACTAAAAACCCTGTTGTCAAAAACAGCTGTGCAAACAATGGTTGGCATGTAGAATTGTTCTACCCCTCTACCCTTCAGTGGGAGGATAAGGAAAGTCACCTGGGCTCTGTGGCCTTGACCACTACTCCCAGAGCCAGACAGTCACTCCTGATACTGTCCAGGTCTCCCTGGCAGTATTGTTCATGCCAATACGGAAGAGAAGCAGAGGGTACATGTCTGAGGGACAGACAAGCTTTGGCAGTCTTTCCACTATATCCCAAATGTGAGGCCCTGACAAGCAGCAAACCTCCCTAAGTTGACAGAGCAGATACACTGATCCCAAGTTTACATATAT